ACAAAAACAGACACACACACACACACACACACACACACACACACACACAGAGATACAGACACACACACACAGAGATACAGACACACACACACACACACACACAAACATTTAAGGACATTGAATTGGACATAGAAGACAGGTTAGTATTAGTTATTAGTGATAGAATTAAAAAACATAGTAATTAAATGTTTGAAATTACACAGAAACTAAAAACTTCTGACTCTAAGTGGTTCCAGTGTAATAATCAAATTATTTTCATTGGTTAACCCTTCAACATTTCGTGACCTTACATCTAAACATACATGTGATCACTCCAAAACGGTTTCCACTACTTTAAGTGACATGCATTATATCAAATAAAAACAAATAGTTTCTGCATGTACAATGGGGGCCGTAAGTTTGTTTTTTAAATAAATTAATACTTTGATAAAAAAAAAATAAAAAAAACTTTCACGCTAGGTTAATTTTTAGGTAATATTTATCAAATACATCTAAACATTTTCCAAACAAAACAAAACAAAAACATTGGTTTTGATTTGTGTCTCTTGTGCTTTGTAAACATCACAAGTGTGTGCCAGTGATCAAAGTTATTCATAATGCTGCCTCGGATTCATAATCATAATGAGTCCGCCGCACCCTTACCCTACAAATCTTATGACTGACATGTAGTTATTTTACACTATAACAAAAAAAAAGTATTATACTGGAAGTCACTTCCCTGTCAGTAATGGAGTCTTTATTATTGTTATTATTATTATTATTATGCAAACATTAAACAAATACATAAAGGACAGAAGAGACAAAACTTCTACAGGAAAAAACAAACTAACACACAAAACAACAACAACAACTAAGAAATAGTAATGGAGTCTAATGCCACAGCAGCGGGTCTGATTATTATAATTATTTATTAGCATAAATTATTCAATGATTAATATAGTGAATAAACTGTGATAATGTGAGAAATGTTGAAGGTGTCTGAATAAATGTTGGTTTGACTCTATCTATTTGATAAATGAAGTTAACCAACTAACATTATATACTCTTTTGGTTTCTGTACCCAATATTAAAAAAATGTACAAATGCAATAAAAATATTGGTATCGGTACTCGGTATCGGCAAGTACCAAAAATAAAAGTATCGGTATCGGGCGAGTACTGGAAAAAGTGGTATCGGTGCATCCCTAATTAATATCATTATCATATCATCTTTTTTGTGAGCACAGTAGCAAAATCTGAGAAGCCAGCGGAGGTGGCTTCTCATGTGTGCTATAATGAAGCAGGTAGTTTCTGATTAACACACTTTATTATTATTATTATTATTCGTTCTGATGAACACACGCTGAGGACATCTGCTGGCCAAATGTGCCAAAATTAATAAAGAATGAGAATGTAACGTAACGCCGCGTTGAGTTCTGGGAAACTGCTTTGTTTATCCGCCATACTTGCAGGATAGGGCTGCTTTTCCGCTGTTGAGTTTAGGGCATTAGTAGAAAGTAGGGGACTTTCTAAAATGCTTAAAGTGGCTTAATGTACCAAGACAGTGATAAAGACAAAATTGTAAAGCATATACTATGTGCAGATATGCATATAAGATCAAAATGTGAACGCGACGCGTTTATTTACACGTTAAGCCTTTTCCTCTCATATAAAGAACGCGCTTAATGCACCGAGACAGTGATATTTAAAGACCACATTCTGTACACACATCTTACTAATAAAGCATAATATGTGTGGAAAAACAGATGAGCCCAAAATATTAACTTTAGAAATCGCTGTCTTAATCCAGAAGCGCTTTCTAGATTACAGTTTTCTGAAGAGAGGAAAACGCGTTACATTTAAACATGTCGCGTTAATATTGCATGTCTCATCTGCATGTCTTTTAGCACCACATTAAACCAGCATTTGAAAATGCTACAAAACTTTCCCCAAGCTCCTAGGGATTTGATTTTGCTTGTCATTTGTTGAAATAAATAAACAGTACAGTGAGTTCGTGACTGTTCGCTGAATGTGACCCACAATCTGTGATTCTCCACCGTGGCCATGGAAAAATTAACATTTATAATGACATCAGTTATACTTTGTCATTTAAAACTTTCCAACAAAGAAATGGATCGACTTCTGTCAGCTTGTTGAACACACTTTTATTTGGATAATGTACCATATGATGGCTGAAGCAGCAGCGAGCGACACTGTCTGTATTCAAGCTAATCGGGTAAACAGTGTAAACCAAATTCTACAAAACCTAAGAGAGAAATGCAGTAAAATAGCTTCTCTTCCCTGCAAACGATACAATGAAGAATGAATGGTTGTTTAACTTAAAGGCAAAAACAAAACAAAAGATAAGCATTTAGTATAGAGAATGAGAAGTAGCCATGGGAACGGATAGCGTATCCTGCTAATATGGCGGCGCCTTCCCGAAATGCAATGCGGAGTGAAAAGATCGTGACGTAACTCCTCATTCTCTATAGGCCTACTCTATTAATACATATTAATATTAAGACTTTGTTAATACTCTGTGTTCCTAGTCATATGTTGGAGGTGGACAAAACTGCGAAAATGTGTTCGTTTTGATATTCTAAAGCGTGGCCAGGTCTATATCAACAAGAAATGAACTCAAATGGCTCTAGACACTCATTAAATATTTACTGTATTTAATTACAAATATTTCTTATTCATTTCCAATGGCGGTCATTTTTATACGCGAACAACACAAGTGTGACTATTTTTTTTACGTTTAGCTTTTTCGAATCCATGATTTTTTTTTTCCCACATAGCGACTGCCATAAAAGCCATCGAGTTTCATACAATTCCGATGAAGTAGCGATTTTTAAAATTTCTAAACATTTTTTTTTTTTGAAGTTGGACAAAACTGCGAAAATGTGTTCGTTTTGATATTCTAAAGCGTGGCCAGGTCTATATCAACAAGAAATGAACTCAAATGGCTCTAGACACTCATTAAATATTTACTGTATTTAATTACAAATATTTCTTATTCATTTCCAATGGCGGTAATTTTTATACGCGAACAACACAAGTGTGACTATTTTTTTTACGTTTAGCTTTTTCGAATCCATGATTTTTTTCCCCACATAGCGACTGCCATAAAAGCCATCGAGTCTCATACAATTCCGATGAAGTAGCGATTTTTAAAATTTCTAAACATTTTTTTTTTTTTTTAAGTCGGAACCTTTATTCTGTCGTCAATGTTTCCGGCCGAGTGAAATAAGCCCGGGCTCTCTTTCCTGCACGTTACACGCGCGTACGCAGACTCAGCCGAACAACAACTGATTAAAGCAGCTGTCCCGAAACTACTAAACTACCATGGAGACGATTTTAGAGCAGCAGCGTCGATACCACGAGGAGAAAGAGAGACTTATGGACGCCAAAACGAAGGAGATGCTAACGAAAAAAACCACGGTAACTTTACGGATCTCTGAATGGGTTTAAAATGGTGCTAACACATACCGTTACATCATGTTATTAATAACCATAAACTAAACTAAAACGAACACTATTTAAATTAGTTACGCCTAGCAGCGATTAAAGTCAAGTTATGTGTGTTATGTTCACATTCTACTGTTTACTGCTACATTATACACAACATTATACTGTAGATTTAATTATTACACCAAGCTATGTATACTTTAGCTTTCCTTTCTCTCAGTCTGTTTTATGAGTATATCTTTATTACTTCTACATGAAGTTATGATTGATTAACTGTTGGGTGCTCTTTTTGAGAAGGGTGCTTTGTGTTTCTTATGTTTTTTTGGAAGTACCTTCAAAAGTTAGGTTTAGATCTACATGGAGACATTTAGCAGTGTTCTTGTTCAGCACAACTTTTCTTTTCTCTGTTCAACAGCTGAGAGACCAGATCAACTCTGATCATCGAGTGAGAGCTATGCTGGATGTGAGATTCATCTTTTCTTTTGTGTCGTTTACATTCGTCTAATTCATTCTCAAATTCATAATCCTGCAATCTGCGTGAATGCATGAAGCTGGTGTGTTTGCGTTGTTTGATTCTTGCAGAGGTACATGGAAGTGAGCGCAAACCTCAGAGACTTGTACGAAGACAAAGACGGGTAAGACAATCTCAAGGACATCCGAGTCGGTATAGAAATATATCAGGCTTATTTTGTGCGATCTCACGGCGGTGTTGTGTGTCTGTTCATCAGAATGAGGAAGGATGAGCTGAATGCAATATCAGGACCCAACGAGTTCGCTGAGTTCTACAACCGACTCAAAGTGATCAAGGAGTTCCACAGAAAACACCCTAACGAGGTACAGACAGCTGTGAAGTGCTCTGTCCTGAACGACACGCTTCTGTCTCAAGAGAAATATTCACTCCGCTCGTTCTGTGTGTCGATTGCAGATCTGTGTGCCCATGTCAGTGGAGTTTGAAGAGCTCATGAAAGCCAAAGACAACCCCAGTGAGGAGGCACAAAGTAAGTCTGGAGTAACGCGAGAGCTGTTTGCTGAGGCACTGATATGTGCTGTGAATGGACGGTAACGGTCTCAATGCTGGTCACAGATCTGGTGGAGTTCACTGATGAAGAGGGTTACGGACGCTACCTGGATCTCCATGACTGCTATTTGAAGTACATTAATCTTAAAGGAGTGGAGGTACTCTCTGACTTCTTATTTGATTTACATGCCTTCAAATAATTGAAGAAAAGACTCTTATACTTCTGTGTCTGTTGCTCTCTTCTAGAAACTGGAGTATGTCACTTATCTGTCAACATTCGATCAGCTCTTTGACATCTCTAAAGACAGGAAGAATGCAGAATATAAGAAGTAGGTGAAAGTTGGTCATTTAAATGCCACGTAACTGATTGAAATAAAATCGAAATAAAATTATGGCCTAGTGTAATTATAATATAGCAACTGCTGCAGTTTAAAGGGGACATGAACTGCCTTTTTTATTTTTAATATTCCACTTATAATATTGTCAAGATTCTTACATCAAAGACATAATGTTTTAGCAGTAAAAGGCTATTTTCTGTACTGTTTTGACCCCTTCATCTGAACGCTCTGTGTGAACCGGTGTGGCGGACTGTAGACTGAAGTAAACGATCACTGCTGTGATTGGCTAACAGTTGTGTTTGTTTGACAGCCTACAGCCTTCATAGATGGACGCTGCTGTGATTTAGGTCAAAAACACATAAATACTCGGTTCATATCAAACAATCTGTAATAATAGACAAAGCAATAGTGATCACGTAATAAAAACAGTTACTCACTTGTGTGGTGCGACATTACTGTCAGATCCAATATAGTCGCACAGCATCATCTTTTAGATTCAATCTTTCAGCAAATCCTGAGTCGAATTGTGCCTTGCTTGTAAACAAATCTGCTGTGAAATGAAGTGAACAAACGACCTAGTTCTCACTGATGCGATCTTCAGTAAAAATAAAGTTCATCCAGTCTTTCCTAATGTTGGGATCTGATGGAAGGCGATGCAAAGATGTGTTTTTCCACAGCTTAGCACTGCACAGCGTCTTGATGACTTTGGAGCATCTTTATCGTTTGGTTTCTGTGTAGACCTGCGTTCGTCTCTCTCGTTATTTACACTACATGCGTGAATCGGTGGGCGGAGCTAAACAGACAGTGATGTAGAATCGGTGGGCGGGGCTAAACGGGCAGTGACGTAGAATCGGTGGGCGGGGCTAAACGGGCAGTCACGTAGAATCGGTGGGCGGGGCTAAACGGGCAGTGATGTAGAATCGGTGGGCGGGGCTAAACGGGCAGTGATGTAGAAGCAGGTGTTGATGATCTTCTGCGGAGGCGGGGTTTAGACACTATTACATCATAGAGCGTCACATTCCACAAGCTGTCGTTTTGGCAGATTGGCTTCAATATAAGCTGTATTTAGACTAATGAGAACGTTTCTTGTATGTCAAAAGATCAAGGGAATTTCGATTTCTCAGTTCATGACCCCTTTAATTAACCAGATCTTTTATGTTTCAGAATGAAATGCAGCACTGTGCTGATTTACTCGCGTGCATCTCATGATAACATTGTTTTCAGTGACTCCGAGCGACTAGGTTGGCATTAAATGCTGCTCCACATGAACTTTTGTAATGAGAAGTGTTTAAACCTGCTGCCAACAACAAAACCATTGCAATTTGTGTCAGAAAAAAATCACAGTGGGTTTTTTTTCTTTCCCCAAATCGTTCAGCTCTACCACATAATCCATGCTTTTATATTGTGTAATCTTTAATTAACTTTTTTTTTGTTGATAATATGAAATGTTGACTTTCTGTTGATCATTCGATTAAATGTGATTGGTCAGAGCTTGTGGAGTGTGTGTTGGATAAACTCAGTTTGAAAGCTGCTGATGTCTAGTTGAATGCATGTTGTGTCTGGTCAGTGGTCTCATGTCTGTGCTCTTGCAGGTATCTGGAGATGTTGCTGGAGTACCTGCAGGAATACACGGATCGGGTCAAGATGCAAATGAGCTGCTGCTCCCCGCCCCCTTTTCCAGAATAGAGCTGCGCCATTACAGCTCGGACCTGCTAAAAACATGTGCTTTGGTTCTGATTATCATGTTTATCACGCTGAAATCATATGAGTTTAAACTTCTGATATACGGTAAAGAACTGATAACAAAAGCTGTTATAGGAGCAATAGCCATGTGGGCAGCGATGTGTCATATGCCATAGCTGTGCACAAGGTGTTTGTGACAGCTCCAGTCTTATTTGTTCTTTAATAACGTCATCAGCGACTAGTCGACTTCGACTCGACTTTCATCACATAAAAGTCGACTTCAAAAAATCAGAAGTCGTTCAACCCCTAATTCACACACAAGTTTACATTACAAACACACGAGTTACAAAAACTGGGTTATGTCTGTGAAGGTAAACAGCTGGGAAATAAATTGCATGTTTATTTTAGATCTGTGTG